ATTGGACCCCGGTTTTAAACCACTTTCATTCGTCTCCTACTTCGTCCTTGTTCCCTCCAAGTTGGATTCTGATTCTTAACTAAAGCCAGCTTCCATGAAAAGGCGTATTCCTCAGCTATAATGAACTTCTGAGATCTGTCATTAACTTCATCAAAGGTAACAGAAGGATGTTTGATCAAATTGTCTCAGAACCTTTAATGGTTAAGACCCTGAATTATAGCGGTTATTCCAATAGCTTGATCAAAGGAACTAATCTCAAGAATTGCATCATTAAACATGTTCATGTAATTTTTCAAAGATTCACCCTCTTTTTGTATAACCATCAAGAGCTCAAGTGTAGTCTTCCTAATTAGCCTTCTACTAGAAAAGTTTGTAGTGAAGCCATATGTCTGTGTAACAACTGATAGATCTTGGAGGTAAACTATAGTACCATGTTCGAGCTTTATCTTGGAGAGTAGAAGGAAATATTTTGCACATCAAAGTGTCTGATGCATTTTGAGCCTACATGCAGGAATATAAGGCATGTAAGTGATCATCTGGATCCTTGGTTCCATCATATGTTTTGAATTGAGGTATCTTGAAACCAACAGGATAAGGTTCTAGAGTTATATTGTTGTTCAATAAATGAGGCATGGAATTAGTATTGTTCTAGAGAAGTGGTACACCTCGTTGTTCAACTATTATCCTTTCCAAGCTGTCCAAACGTCTAGTAACATCATTTGGCGGAGGTGGGAGAGGTGGAACTACGTGAGACTGATCTTATGACTCACTGAGGGTTGGGGCAGCTTTATTATTCTTAGAGTGAGGATGATGTGGTTCCTATTGCTAAACTGGGGGTTGTTAGGTTGGATTCAGTAGATTGGTGAGGGGGTCTCTAGGATTATTCCTAGCTAAAAGCTGAGCTAAAACCAACTAGAAAACACCAAATTGTTGCTGCATTACTACAAGTTGAGCTACTGCTGCATCACCTTGATTGAGGTGGGGCATTAACTTGTGAGGCTAGTTCTCATCACCCTTTTCGATATGCTTGCCATAGGAGCAAGTATGTTTGAAATGGATGGTGGAAAATTATTGATGTTCTATCTTTGACCTCAGCCAAGGGGTTGAGCTTGACTTCCAATACAAGCAAATCCAGTATCAACCATGCTAGGAAGGCAACAGTAAAGCTTTTAACTAGATTCCCACAGATAGTGCCAAATGTAATTGCATTGACCCGGATAACCTCTTCTAGTCCAATTCTTCTCTTCGAATAGACCTACAAAGCCTTGAGGATGGTCCTTGGGGTAGTCACTCCGATGCTTAAGTTAGTAATAATCTAGTCTACTTTTAAGAAAGACTATAAAAGAAGCTTTAGGTTGGTTTCAATTACCTTTTGAACATGACCCTCGAGGGTATTTATAGGCCTTAATGATGTACCAACATGGCTTGCTTAATGAGATAATCAGAGTGTGATGTGTCCAATGGGGCGATGATCTAGAGAATGGGGAATTTGGCGAGGGCATGCTCGCCGTAATTATCATGCAATTGGGAAGAACTGAACTTAAACCTTATCTTGGTCATTAAGTAGTCGTAGTATATTCAGGATCAATGATCTCAAACCTACCCTTACACCAAGCAACAATAAGTTGTTTCTTACAAGACTAAGAAATAAGAGAATTACCAAGAAGCAAACAAAAAACTATAAATAGATCTCCTCGTGTCAACACAACTAGCCTAATCAGTAGCAAAGAACAAAACTGGAGGAGGCAAGAGTTGTAGTAGGAGAACTAGAGTAGATGGGATAAGGAACATCATCGAAGGAGTTAGCAGAAGAAGAAGAAACAAAAGACAAGGGAAGAAGGCATGATGTAAGAAAGAAAACATAGTGGGATAGAAACCTATAGAATGCGGGTTTGGTGTGTAGATACTTGCTCTGATACCATAAGGCAATATAAAGACCGAAATATCATAATTCATGAAAATAAAGATTAGTGTATATACAATTTTATAATAGAAGTGTAATGATGTATCTATCCCTAGAACATATACAGGAATAATAATGCCATATACATTGTCACACTAGATAACAATAGAAAAGCTCACTTTGGCGCTGTAATGTCACAATTAATATTATTTTATATAAACTCTCATTTTAAATATTTAATTTTCAAATAGAATATCTAACCAAACACCTCATATCTACTACATATACTTAAATAAAGCTTCTTCAAAAGTTGTATCAACATTGTTTTATTAAACTCACATTTTAGTTATTCGAATAAAAAATTTAAAATGAAATTGAAAAAAATGCTAGCCGTTGGATGGTTGGATGCAACGACTGAACAAATGCTTGGACCACTTGACATGTGTTTCATGCGGTGCAAATTTAAGAGAATAGGTCTCTCTTTTCAAAAGCTCTCCAATGGCATAGAAGAATGCTAAAGTTATGTGTTTATTTTATTTTAAAATAAACAATAAAAACAACTCTTGTCGTACATGTGTTGAGCTTTCGAGCTTTAACAATCTCATTCTCATCCTTTCATACAAAAAAGAAATCTTGAATATTTTCTCATCCCCTAATTGGGTTAATTTAACAAATCATCTATTAACTTTTATATTCTTTTCAGTTTCATCTATTATTTTTGAATTCTTTCAATCTTATCTATTAACTTTCACATTTATTTCAATTTCATCTAGTCTGTTATATTTAACCAAAATATCCGTTATCTTTAACAGAATCTTCTTATTCTTTAATGAAATATTTAGTCCTTTAACTATATTTCTTTTGATCTTTTAGTCCTTAAATTTATATTCACAATAAAAATAGTTTTTAATCTTATCTTGCTAAATGTGTTTTTAAGAAAACTGTTTTACAGAGTAGGCTATATGCAGCATGTCCTGTAAAATTATTTAAATGCCCTTAATTTTATTTAAATAATTTTTTAGGACAGACTGCATACAATCTATCATGTAAAATAGGTTAGTTGCTCACATTTATTACAAATTTTAACTAATCTATCTCTATAAAATATGTCTTGAGTCATCATATTTTATTAGGATTATAATGTCACTTTTTCAAAACTTAAAAAATTACTCTTTTAGTTAAATCTAATGAAATTTTGTATTGGTAGACTATTTTGAAACATTTCCAAAGTTTATAGACCATTTAGAAAGAAACTAAACTTTTTAGACTAAAATAAAATCAAGTTAATAGTTAATAGACTAAAAATTGAATTAAGCCTCCCCTAATTACTTCTTTTCTTTTTTCTTTTTTTTTTTTGGTTTTTTTTAGGGGCAAGTAGTTCGAGAGGAAGGGGTGGAAAAAGGGATCGAACCCTTATGGTGAAAAAGGTTTACATTAAACTGTTGGGCCACTAGATCAATTGACCTTCTTC